AAATGGGCGACCAAGCAGATGATTGTAGACGAATATGCAGTATCTACGAAATGGGATACTGGAAGATAAAACTTAACATTACGTAAAAACACCGCATCGCAACATGGAATGTTAGGGGCTGCTACAGCCAGGTAAATTGTATATATTAGAAAATGAACTGATCAGGGAGAAGATAGATATCTGTGGGATATCTGAGACACACTGGGAGCCAAGGACATTGAAAGACCACTCACTACAAGGTTTTCATGTCAGGAGCTAACAAATCAGGATAAAAAGGCGTAGCAATAATAATTCAAAAATGTTGGGCAAAATATATACATGAATACCTTCCAGTAAAAAATAATCGAATAATTCAGGCGCTAAACCAGCCAAAATGAATATTATACAGGTATATATGCCAACATCCGAAGCGACAGAAGATATAGTAGAAGAAACATACCACTTACTACATGAAACCATCTCTAACGTTTCTAAAAAAGAACCAATGATGATAAAAGGAGATTGGAATGCAAAAATAGAAAAACTAAAATAGATGACTATTTGAAAGGAACGATAGGTGAAAGATGGTCTTTGCCTGGAGGACGATACAAGAACCAAATTAATTATATTCTTGTCTTTAAACGATGGAGGACCTCAATAATTAACCTGACGACAAAACTAACTGCAGAAATAAGAATTTCGCATTAAGTTACATAGTAGAACAATCACAAGAATTGAAAACCAACATTAGTTCCAAAACACTCAGAAAAGTTTAGAGAAGCATTAGCAGAAGCTGATACCAGTGACTACCGGAGACCTTGACAAAACGTGGGAATACACAAAGAAATGGATCACTGAAGCCATCAACAATACTAATCCCACAGTCAAAACAGCTAGGAAAAAACATTGGATGAATAAAGAGATTCTCAATCTTGCAGAAGAAAGACGAAAACTTAAAAACGGCACATCAAATTCAAAACAAAAAGAAATAGAGGTATGCACCATAAATATAACTATCACCAGCACCATAAAAACACTCGTACAGAAGGGACAAAAATAATTATATTAAAAACATATGCGTACAACTAGAAGAACATGTTGACTGCCAAGAATCTAGAGAACTTTTCTCAAAAGTCAAGTATCTAGCGAGAGAATTCAAACCGCATACACAGATCATCAAAGATAATAGTGGCAATACCATAACAAACTCAGACGGTATCGCAGAGGTGTGAAAACACTATTGCGAAATACTATTCTCTAACAACGACCTAGACAATAATACAGAGATAAAAGAAGTTATAAAAAAGAATCTCAAATATTGAAATTAGAAATTGAGGTGACAATTAAAAAGCTAAAATTCAAAAAAGAAAAAGGAGATAATGGAATAACAGCTGAAACATTCAAAGAAATGGAAGAATTACGGACCAAAGTAAAGCTTAGAATTTGCAATGAGATCTGAAATACCGGAAAGTGATCAAATGACTGGGTAAACTCACGTTTATTCCCACATATAAAATATGGTTCACCGACAGGTTCAGTAATTACCGTACAGTAGCATTCATATACACGAAAGCAACGTGCTTCTAACCATCATAAATGAAAGACTAAAATCAATTCTCTTACCAAAAATTCCCCAAGAACAATGCGGATTCGTCCCAGGCAGAGGAACAAGCGAACATATTTTCAATATTCGTCAAATTATCGAAAAATCTCGAGAGTTTAACATAGAAACATATTTATGCTTTATTGATGATTCAATGGCCTTCGATACCGTAAAATGGGATGAAATGTGGCATATACTTAGAGAAATGGGTACGCCGGAACATCTAATCCAGGGCCTTCCCAAACTTATTTGTACTGTGACGCCCTTGGGACATTGCTATTTTTTTGCGTCGCCCCCTCAACCGAACCTCCAATAATACTTACCAATTTTAGTACTAGCATAGTAACTGTTATAGTTATAATAAAAACACTATTTCAAAATTTATATCTTATATTAGAAATTAAGAAGGAAATCAAAACATAGGCACAAAAATGAAAAAGATATTTATTTATGTAACTAGCTGGTTGGTTAATGTGAGGGATGTGCTTGCTTTTTTGAGCACAGCTTGTGAAACCGGGGATCAGTTTGGAAATTGCCACTCTCATTTCTTTTTTAAGTTTATGTTTAATCTGTTCTTTTAACACCTTTAATGCAGCAGTGCGGATTGATATTTATGAGAAAGTGGGCTCCAAAATTCAAACAGTTTCTCCTTGTATTGAAGCTTTAGGACTGGAATCACAGGACAATTCTGTCAGTGTGTCAGTCTGTCGTCTTCCTCTATTTGAAAGTGTCGATGGTGTGAATGACAGGAAAGGGTTTCTGAGCCAGTCATATTGCTCCATATCTTTGGGAAAATATTTCTCAGGAAAAAAGTGTTCGCTCAATGAGAGCATGTGTTGTGTAAACATATTTTTCAGAGAGAGATCAAGGATTTCTATTGATTTTTATTGTAGAATACCTTGTAAAGTATGAAAACAGTCAATTTCTTAATCTTCTAATTTTCTCTTCCATAAGAGCAACTTCTTCTGAAACACAGTAATTTTATCTACCAATTTAAGGATATGAGTATTGTTTCCCTGCAAAGACTTATTCAAATCATTTTAATTTGTTTAATATGTCACGAGTTATGCTAATTTCATTGTAAGCTCTGAATTAATAAAGTTTTTGCTAATCATCATGTCATTCTGTATGTAGATACACGTAAAATTCATTTCTTAATTCGTATACACGTGGGAGTACGTTGCCTTTGGACAGCCAATGGGAGTTGCAATAATAAAATTAAAGAGGTGTGCTCGGCCGTCATTTCTTCACAAAGTTTGATGGAAAAATCTTGATTTCACGGATCGTGTTTTAATGTAGTTCATCACTTTAATAACGCTATCCATCGCAACAGTTAATTCAGGTGTAAAGTTCTTTGCGCTAAGGCCTCTATACGTATGACACTATGTGTCCATTTTACCCATTTTACTCCATACATTTTTTATTTCTTTAGCTGCAGATTCTCCAATCATCACTATTACCATATCAATCGCTGCAGGTGAGATTAGTTCCTCAGCGATCGTATGTGCTTTTTTACATTTGGCAACAGAGTAAGCTACCATATAAGAGGCGAGCAATGCCTTGGTAGGAATTGGTGCTCTCGAAACCAAAGAGGTGGTCTGATGTTTTAGCTCTTGCAATTTTCTTACAAAAAAGTCTCTTGGCTTAAATTGTAAATAACTGTGAGTTGATTCCAAATGCCGTTTTAGTTTATTAGGAAGTATAATTTCAGTCGCCAACACTTTGTGACAAACAACACATTATGTAAGTTCTACATTCCCTTTAGTAACGCACGGTAAATCCAAAATCCAAATATTGGTCGTTAAAATTACTTTAATTACGTCATATTTCCATTTCCAACACTTTCTCTTTTTACTTAAAATTACTGCGCTTGCCTGATTCTTCAGTTCGTTTTCTATTCTTTTGAATTATACAAAACAAAATACAAGCTTGACTAAATGACATAACAAGCGCGGCAGTAAGGAACACTGCATTAAATGTTCGCGCTGACATGCTACGCCCCACAGCGTCACGACGCACAGTTTGGGAAGCCCTGATCTAATCTATTTATTACAAAAACTATATGTAAATTATACTGCTAATATAAGTGAGAGCGCCCACCAAACTGGCGTGGCAGTGGCAAGTAGCAAGTAGCACGCATCTAGCATGTTATTTTTAAATGTAACCAATGAAAAAAAATTATTAGAATGAATGACGTCACTATCATTTTGGTGAGCGCTGAATCATTCGTTTTCATTGGTTACATTAGGCTAGACGCGTGCTACTTGCTACTTGCCACTGCCACGCCACTTTGGTGGGCGCTCTCCCTAAGAGTTAATAATGTGGTTTCGAAAAACCTCAAATCAAAATCTGGAGTTCGACAGGGACTGCATATTCTATTCAATATATATAGTAAACATATTATGCGTCCAAGTTTTTAAGCAATGGCAAGATAGAGCAACGATAGGAGAAAGAAAAATCAAAAACCTACGTTAAGCTGATAACACTGTTATATTGGCGTCATCACCAAAAGAACTGGAACAAATTATAAATAGGCAAGGGCACGTTGAGTACGGGATATGGTTTGAAAATAAATATACAGAAAACCAAAGTGATGATTATCGATAGAATCAGAAACAACTATGAAGAGATAAGAAACAATGGCAGGTTACGAAGTGGTCAGGCAATTTAATTACTTAGCCTCCGTTATTACTAACAGTGGAGGATGCAAAGACGAGATCCGTCGACGTATCACAATGACCAGATCGGCAACAGAGGAAATCACAAAAATTTGAAAGAACACTGAAATCACAAAAAAAAACACAAAATTACGCCTTGTTCAAGCATTGACATTTCCTATCGCCACCTATATTTCAGAAACTTAGCCGTTCGGACTATAAAAAAAGCCGATTCAAAGCATATGCATTAAAGCGGTACGTAGATGTTGCAAATGGCGGCAGTCTACTCTCAGGAATGTTGCACACTATCCATAGGACATGGACCATCGTAAATAGAAAGATCCAGAGGAAGATTCCCAGTACGATGGTCGCAGCAAACAAAGGAGATGACTGGTTACTCATTCTCTGAAACAAAAAAAAAACACGCACAGGAGAGATAACTAGACAGAAATAGTCAAAAAAATTTAATGACGGCACTACATCCTTACGAAGGAAGAAAAGATAGAGGAGAGAAGAGGACAAAAATATAGACTTCTGAATTATCCAGCGAAATACCTATTTAATGATGTGCCACACCTATTAAATTACATAATTGAAATTAAAGCATTGCGATACTGATATATCCTTAAAAAATGTCCTCTTTGGAATAAAAACCGACCTGACCTGTTTAAGCATTTTCAAAAAAAAATAATAGGTACCTATTATCAAATATTAGGGTGGACTCTTGTTAGTGGCCAACCTTGTATTTTTATGTTTATTTCCTAGTATTTCCTTAGTATTTCTTGAATCTCTAATATATTTTTCCCTTTAGTTTCGGGAACTCTAAAATATATAAAAATAAATCCTAGTCCCGAAAGAATAGAAAATATCCAAAAGCTCCAAGCAAGTCCTATTTGTTCCTCTATTATTGGAAAGAGAAAAACGGAAGCTGCCAAAACAAGTCCACTTACAAAATAAATAAGGGATATTGCTGTTGCTTTAATATTACTAGTAAAAACATCGTTCATGTATGCTAATGATACTGAACAGATACCTATTACAGCAGTCACTACTAAAACAATAATACCTACTACAGGGAACCATGTAATATGATTTACGAAGGATGATCCAATGCTTTGGAAATAAAAGTACGCTCCTAGAATAAGCAGAGGAATGGTACTTGCTATCGAAGAAAATAAAAGTAAAGGTCTTCGTCCCCACTTTTCCACTAACACCGAGGCAATAAAATACAACAAAACTTGTATAAAACCAACAATGATTGCATAGATAGAGCCTGATACTTCTGTTCCAGCTGCGTCAAAAATAGGTTGTAGATAACTCATAATAGAGGGTAGTCCGCAAGTTGCGGTTAATATCATCAGAACACAAGCCGCAATAAATCCGTTCCTCGCAGCTCGGTCGGTAAATATTACTGTAATATTTGTTTTTTCAGTTTTTGTAATTTGACTTAAGTTAAATTCAATTTTATCTGCTACTTCTTTGACTCTTATAGAATCTTGTTTTAAAAATTGATTTAAAGCCAATTCCGCTGCTGGTCTATTCTTTTTAATTATAAGATAAACAGGAGATTCTGGCTAAAAAAAATATAAATATAAGAAAAGATAGGATCGAAGGAAAGGCTGTTAGTAGCGTGAAAACTTTTACCGAAAATATTGGACCCATTATAAATCCAAAAAGATTTCCTATTGGCATAAATAATCCCATATAGCAACTTAGTTGGGCTCTATTGTGATCTTCTGTTATCTCACTTAAATATATCGGAACTCCTACCAATATAGCTGATAGAAACATGCCAATTAAAAATGTAAATGTGTAATATAAAACAATAATTTTAGAGAAAGATAAACCAACTAGGGCGCAGACAAGAAGTACAGTAAATATGTTTAAACACATTTTACGTCCAAATTTATTTAATACCCTCTCGAAAACTAATGTACCAACAACCATTCCTATTTGAGATAGTGATCCCACAAAAGATAACTCGATTGTTGTAATGGGTGCTCCTAGAGGGTTCTCATCTGGGTCCTCTGAACGTAGTTTGGATGTTACTGGTGATACCCATATAATAACTGTTCCTAAGGTGATGAAATTGAGATTTGCTGAAAACAAATTAAATTATAATATATTTTTAGAAATCAACATTTCCATTTAATTTAATTTATTGTGTCCAAAGACAAATACAAAATTAAGGAACTAGGTTTTTAAAATATCTTAAACTAGAGAGATACGTGTTTTGTGTTAAGAGAAACCATGTTTATTTTGCCATACAAGTTCTAACGGGGCTGTAGTAATTCTAACACTAGTTACACTGTGTGCAATTAAGTTAGTTACATGAAATTATTCGTATTTTAAAACACTCTACAAAGTATCAAAGTATCAAAAAGGGCATTATCCGCCTATAAAACAAGCATATAAATTTAGCCTAAGAATTAAACACGGCAATTTCCTCGAACGGTTAAGAATTAAAGTCGGCAATGTCCTCTTTGACCAATTAGAATCCTTTCATCGATCATGTGATATACCACTAGAAGTTTCTTAATATTGTTCTGAAGCTATTTTTTTGTGGCATTGTAAATTAATTACTATTTAACTGGGAATAAGCCACAATTAAAAATAAAAATACGTTTATTGACGTTTCAATTTCCACTTCGGAAATCGTTCTTAAAATACAAACAGTAAATTAAACAAATTTTGTTTTTTGTTACATAATGAAAAATTCTTCTAATAATTTAATTTTATCTGAACTATTTATATTGACAATTCAGAAATACATTATGCATTTTAAAGTAGATGACTTTAAAATGATATTGCCAATATTGTTGAGTTGCGCTCCTGGGACGACTTTACTTCTAAGATAGTTCATTCGATTACATGAAATCAACTTTAACTTGAGAATATCCGTCAGAAAAAAATCATAGGATGTAATTAGTCTTTAAAAGACAAACACATGACATGATGACAGTAAAATTCTCCTGTTAGTGATTCCATAGTAAATTATAAGGGAAAAACCAGGAAAAAAACCTCATAATACTATCCCGACATTGTAAGTATTTGCGCAACTCAACAATATTGGTAATATCATTATAAAGTCGTCTACTTTAAACTGCATAATGTATATCTGAATTGTCAATATAAATGAGTCAGATAAAATTAAATTATTGGAAGAATTTTTCACTATGTGACACAAAAACAAAATTTGTTTAATTTACTGTTTGTATTTTGAGAACGATTTCCGAAGTGGAAATTGAAACGTCAATAAACGTATTTTTATCTTTAATTGTGGCTTATTTCCAGTTAAATAGTTATTCACTAGAATTTGGCTGGAGTCGTTATCGTTATAATTTCTCGTAGTGTCTTTTTAGCGAAGGTGCCAAGCTGTTTGGTTTTTTATTTAGTTAGTATTTTAACACTTTAACGACCAGGCTAATATAAAAAAGCTTTACTACTGGATCAGATACCTTTTATTTCAAAAAACTGTTTCACTGGTAGATTGTAGGCCAGATTAAATATTTTTTTAAGGAAAATCAAACTTTATTTTAATTAAATTTATTGCGTGTCCATCTTTTGATCACGCGGTTTGGTATAAAACTCGAAAACGTTTGGCTTCATATACAGATTGAACGAAATAAATTCGGAACATACGAAATATTATATATTTCGGCTCAATTTTGCTGTAGGTGGTTGGCCAACAAAAGGTTTGTCAAATAATTTATATTATAAAAATCCCAATACTTCAGCGGGCTGCTGGATTCTGAAATCATAAAAATTGAAAGCTACACATAAATCTACGATTTTTACTATGCTGTCAAACCAGTTATCGCTTCATTAAACAAGCCCTTCTTTGAGCGGTGTTGCCAACCTCATTTTTTTAGATGTTTCTTAAATAAGGTGTTATCCATAAAATATTTACAAGAAAAAAAAGAAAAATAACTACAAACCATTAAGTTTATTGTTGTTATTAGTCTGTTGTAGTAGATTGGTAAATACAATCAAAAATATAGGCAAATATACGATTTATTTAAAGATACGAAGATATAACTCTCAAAAAGATCCGCAAATCGGATTATTACACGGCGATTGGCAACATTTGTTACGCAAAACAACATTGTTGCGAGGCAGATAGTTGAACGATATTTTATACAATGTCTAAACCCAGGTATGGATTTATTTTTGAAGTTTTATATTGGTCCACTATTTCAAATGCAGTTCAAACAGACATATATTAAATTGTATGATCCGTTTTAAATTCGTTCAATCTGCATGACCATGTGCATCAAATTTGGACACGTTACTTTTTTATAGAACCAACATGAGTAGCAAAAAAACATTTGTGATAGATGTAGATACAGATTAACTTTTTTACATAGTATGCACGTAGTGGACATCTTATTAGCATCTTTTATGGCCTGTGCACATTCATATTTCATAGCAATATTCCTGTGACATGATGAATATCTCCACGTTTTGTTAGGTGAGAGAATAGTCCAATTCTTTCTGTTCCGTTTTTTTTTTTCATTAATATCTAACTGAAGTAATGACATTACCAATTGTTCACGAAACTGAGTTATTGATATTTTCTTCTTAGCTACTTCTGTCAATAGTAGATGGGCGTTTACAACTGTTGTGTTTATTAACAACCCAAAAATAATTATTTTTGGGTACCACTAATTCCCTTCTTCTTCTTTTGGTGTATATCCTCTGTGGATGTTAGCAACCACATTGGTCCATACAACTTTGCTGACAGCTGCTCTAAATAGGTGTATAATAGCATTCGTACCCACTGTCTGATGTTCTTCAACCACGATGTCCTTCTGCGCCCTTGAGATATTTTGCCTTCTATCTTGCTTTGTAAAATTAGTTAAGTTAAATGATACTTCTTATTGTTTATTTTTCTGAGAAGGGTAATTAGATTTTATGGGTTCTATTTTCGGAAGCGTTTGTCGAGTATCTTTAGTGTTGTAGCAGACACGGAAGAGGAATTACGAAAAATCCTTGAAGAAGACTCAGAAAATGAAGATGAATCTACCAATTTACAAACCGTTGCTAGTGATGAAGAGTGAGTAGATGAAGAATTTTCTGAAGAAGATCATGTATCTACGATTAATGATGACAAAGATGAAACCGCAAATTCGGAAAATGAAATAAAAGTTCCTGAACAAGAAGATTTACAATATACTGCTTGACATGGGACAGTTTGCAACAAATATCCACAACTTCAGTCACGTGTAAGGTAAGTGGTGGCTCAAATGCTATACATATTTTCTTACTAAATTTGTGGGTTTTACTAATTGCGTTGTATATTGTTTCTTCTTCTTCTTCTGGTTCCTATCCGTTTCGGATGTTGGAAATCATATTGGCAATCATAACCTTGCTCGCTGCGGCTCGAAACAGCTCCGTTGAGGTTTTCTTAAACCATGTTCTTAAATTCCGCAGCCATGATATTCTCCTTCTACCGGGTCCTCGCTTACCTTTGACTTTACCTTGCAATATAGACTGTAGCAGGGAGATAACGGTGCTGATTTCTCATAACGTGTCCCAGATATTGCAATTTTATGGTTCTCTGGTTTCTCTGGTTCTTTCTTCATTTTTCCTAGAACTTCCTTGTTCGTGATCCTTGCTGTTCATGATATTCTCAGCATTTCTTCAATAAAGCCACATCTCAAATGCTTCAAGTTTTTTAATAGTGGTGTCTGTAAGCGTCCATGCCTCCGCCCAGTACCTTTAGAGGTAAATGTTCCTTCAGATAGTATATTCCAACAAAACCACGTGGGAAATATGGAATTAAATTATGGCTTTTATCTGATGTCATAACTGCGTATGTGTATTGTGCAGAAGTGTATACAGGAAAAGCAGAAAATCGGGGCGGAAATGTGGTTTTACGACTTATAAAAGATGAGTTCAGAATTCTGGGCGAAACATAACCACTGATAATTTGTTTACTGACTACCATTTAGCGACTGAATTATTAAAACGTGAACCAACACAGGCGTCATTGTAAGAGCATAAAAAAACCAGATATTATTTTAGAATACAATAGAACCAATTAGCTCGTTATACCTGTAAAAGAGGAATTAGATGTTGGCACTTTGCCTATTTTATAACATTTTAGATTTAGCGATAATTAACGCATATGTTTTATAAAATAATTGGCATATAATTTAACAGAAAAATGTTGAACTACCCGAATAACAACAAACGTTCCACAAAAAATCCAAATAAATTTACATGCAGTAGCTGGATCTGAGAATCTATTTAGGGAAGCTTTAAAAGATCAAAAAAGAATTATCATAGGAGGAGAAATAATTAACAATATACGGTACGCCGACGATCCTGTGATTCTAGCTGAAAACATCGACGATCTGCAGGAGCTAATCAATAGAGTTGACATGGAATGCACAAATTGGGGACTGTCGATAAATATCGATAAAACTAAATACATGGTGACCTTCTTCTTAACGTGCCCTATCAAGTCCCCTTGACATTGGCGATTAACATGGCGAAACTGTCTCTGTCTCGATCTATTCTAAATAGTTGCTCAGCTCGTTCTTTATTCCTGTCCACTCCCTGATATTCTTCAACCAAGAGGCCTGCTTTCTACCAATTCCTCTGCGTCCTTCGATTTTACCCATCATAATAAGTTGAAGAATATTATATCGGTCTCCCCTTACTACGTGTCCAAAATATGCCATCTTTCTACATTTGATGTTATCAAGCAGCTCGCGAGCAGCATTTGCTCTCTCAAGGACTGTCACATTTGTCAGCATAGCCGTCCATGGAATTTTTAGTATACGTCTGTGCAGCCACACTTCAAAGGCCTCCAGACGATTAATGGTGGATATTTTAATGTCCATGCTTCGACACCGTATAAGAGGACTGACCAAATGTAGCATTTAACCATGCGCTTTCGAAGTTGATGTTGCAAGTTATCATTACAGAAGAATGACCTCATTTTTAAAAATGTCGTGCGGGCTATCTCGATTCTACATTTTATCTCTTGATCTGGATCTAGTTGTTCAGTAATATGGCAACCAAGATATTTAAAACTGGACACTCTTTGAATTATATGACCATCAACATATAATCATGCATCTTGATGTGCTAAACGGCTCAACATGGTGACCAGTAAAGTGGATATCGGCGCAACCAAACTGATATTAAATTAACAACCTCTGCAGAGAGTTCAGAGATTCAAATACCTTGGATGTTAGATTACCCAAAATCTAGATCCATCCTTCGAAATTTAATGTAGAGGCAAGAAACTCATTTCAAAAATTCAAGCCTCTATTATTTAATAACTCATTAAATTTGGAAATCTGTGAAAAGTTTACAAGATGTTACGTGTGGTCTGTACTTTTGTATGGATGTGAAACTTGGACTTTAAACGCCGATATCATGAATAAAATCGAAGCGTTTGAGATGTGGTTGTATCGAAGGATACTAAAAATTCCATGGACTAGCAGAACCAGAAATGAAGAAGTTCTTTGAAGAATGGGACATCAACGAACTCTATTAAATAATATTAAGAGGCGTAAACTAGAATATCTTGGATATATAATCAGAGGACCAAGATATGAGTTCCTTCGGCTAATTCTCAAAGGTAAAATCGAAGGAAAGAAATGAATAGGACGGAAGAAACTCTCTTGGTTGAGGAATTTGAGGCAGTGGACAGGTTTGACAGCGGACCAATTGCTACACGTAGCGCAAGACCGAGATCAGTATAACAATATTATAAGCATGGTAGTCGCCGACGTTCCGTAGGGATATGGCACTCTAAGAAGAAGAAGCTGGAACAAGTGAAAATGCAAATGAAAGTTCAAAACGTAGAAGGTGTAAAGACTGCGGATGGGAAAAAGACAGAAATGTCTACAAGATGTCAAGCATGTAAGAGGTTTATTTGTCCTAATCATTCAATTATCTTTTGTTAAAGTTGCAGTGAATAAATATATAATTTTAATTGAATATAAGGTTTTATTATATTTTTTATTACAAAAAATTGTTTTTAGTTTTGATACATCGATAACATGAAACTACAAAAGCTTCTACGAATTATTAAAAAAAATTGGAATTTAATTCACAACAGGTATGAGTTTTATCCACTGTGTCCACCCGTACCCATAGACAAAGAATGTAACATTTACTTCGGGAAATAAGAAAGGTTAACCTCGATTATGAACTATGTACTTGATATTCGGTTTATATTACTTGTGTATTAGGGTGGAGCGAAAAAATCGATATTTTTTTTTGACATGTAATACCTGCGAAAAGTTGACCCTACCTATAGTATACTTGCTCCTAAAATTTCAGTAGAAAATAAAAATATCTTCAGGGCTTTACCGCGCACCAAAAAAAAGAAAAAATCAAGAAAAATCGATTTTATTTATTTTTTACTTTTAATAAATAAACGAAGCTGCTTTTATCGATGTTAATTATTTTCTAATATTTTAGTTAAAAATAATGTTATTAGAGCTCTATCTGTCACCGAAGTAAAACTATGAGCAATATTTTTGGAAATAAAACAGATCAAAAATCTCATCAAATAATGTTCAATGTTCGCCTTACAGTTAATTTTTATTAAATAAAGCTACGCCATTGGTAAACGCTTCCCGTGAAATGTTCTTTTCCTGTAAAACTTTTTTTGACCTGTTTCGTGCTAGATCGCTTCGATCGAAGTAAGAGAACGAAGTTAGTTCAGTCTTCAGTCTCACTGTGATGATAGCCGTAGAGATAAGATCGTTATTGTAATAATTAATCGGTACGTAATGAGTTTGCCAGTGAAAGACACTAGGGGCACTACTAATTGTCCTATATTTGGTGCACCTGCGAATATACCTTCTAATGTTTTGCCAACTATAGAAGATGTTATGAAGCGATATCTACTTATTAGAAATGAACTAAAAGGTATGGATTCCGGCAAGGATCCTAGTGTTCTAGTTATTTCTCAATTACTTACCAATGAAATCGAAGCCATCTGGGAAAAGCCTCAGTTCCCACTGTATCAAGCAATCGTATTATTCGATTAATTCGTGATATCCTGGTAAGTATCAAACTCTCATCAGATATCCAAACAAAAACGTAATGAGACTTATAATTTAAGAGTAAAAAGTTTAAAGACGATTCAAGAAAGGTTGGAGATAAACTTCATCGCAAGATAAAAACGAAGAACACATTTCGTTACTTGAAGAACCAGGTTCTAAATATCTTAATCACATAACTCCAACGTCAGGTACAGGAAGACATATTGCCACATCTATATTAAATTTTTTTGAAGAATCCGGTATTGGCACAGGTAATCTTTTAGTAGTAGGCTGCGACGGTACAGCAGTCAACACTGGGAGGAAGAATGGAGTTTTACTGTTTTTAAAGATAGAACTGAAACGTTCTCTGCAGTGGTCAATTTGTCTGTTACACATGAATGAATTGCCCCTCCGGCATATCTTTCAATATCTCGATAGAAAAACTTCGGGACCTCGTAAATACTCTGGCAGTATAGGCAAACTATTGGAGTCTTGCGAAAATTTGCCAGTAATCCATTTTGTTCCTATTCATACCACTCTACCACAATTAGATGCTGCAGTTATAAGGGACCTTAGCAGTGATCAAAAGTACTTATACGAAATTTGTCAATCGGTTTCTAATGGAAAGTGCTCGATAGATTTAGCAACTCGTAATCCGTGTAAATTATCACATGTACGATGGGTTACAAAGGCAAATCGTATATTGCGTGTTTACGTCGGAAGTGAAAATCCGTCTTTGGTTTTAAGATCTTTGGCTCAATTTGTGGTAAAAGTTTATGAGCCAGTGTGGTTTAATATTAAAGCAAAGCCATCGTGTAGTGAAGAAGCAAGACACGTCTTTAAAATGATTCAATTGTCACGCTACCTGAGCAACGACTTGAAAGCCGTCATTGAACCTGTTATCAAAAGAAATTCATATTTTTGTCATTCGGAGAACCTTCTCCTAGCAGTGCTTTCTGATGATCGTCCTGCCATAAGACAACTTGCCTTACGCAGAATGTTGAAGACGCGCACAAAAATACCTACTTTGAACACGAATGTAAGAGAATTTCTAATTCCTGATTTAAATTTCAATGCTAGTGAATATTATTCTCAAAATTGCTCTGTTACAATGCCTCGCCTTTTATGTGCTACAACTGATGAGGATATTAGAAAATGTATTAATGTTGAAGAAATTTTTCCAACAAATTTTTTGTCATTTCCTTGTCATACTCAAGCAGTAAAAAGATGTGAGAAGGTTGTAACAGAAGCTTCCACTTCTGTCCTCGGCTATGACTCCAGAGATGGATTTGTTCGGGCAAGGATTCATTCAAGAACCATATTACCTCGATTTAACACTAAGGCGCAATACAGTGCATAATTTTTTTTAGGAATTTAAAGACAAGTAGCAGTTTAATTTCCATTTAATAGTCTAGGATATAATATTTAGTTGAACTTTTTTTTTAAAGAGAACCTGTTTATTTAGTAAATGGTTTGTTTTCTGTATTAGAGATTTTTATTGTTTTCTGTATTAAAAGTTTTTATAAAATAAGGGATTTGTATTTTCTTGTCTATTTAGATGTAGAAGACTTTTTGAAATTATAAAAGTTGGTAAAAAGCCTAATAGTCATTATTATATTTAGCTTCCGCGCTATTACATTAGAAAAAAATTTATTATTTTTTTTTACCCTGTAGAACCCTGAAGATGAAATAGTAGAAAAAATTAAAAAAAAACATGGTATTCCTCTATGCAGTAAGCAACTTATCCATCCGCGCTATTACATTAAAAAAAATTTAATATTTTTTTTTGTTTCACCCTGTAGAACCCTGAAGATGAAATGGTAGAAAAAAATAAAAAAAACATGGTACTCCTCTATGCAGTAAGCAAGTTTTCCGATCCGAGCTATTACATTTCGAATAAAGAATTTAAAAAAATTCTTCATGTTTCACTCCACCCTATTATGTATTATTAGCAAAAATCAAATACTTTTTTATCTACTACTTTTTGTCAACATTTTTTCATAGCCCATGCTCAAGTAGTCATATTGAATATGCCAAGTTTTTTTGAAGCTCCTTAATTACTTTATGATTAGTTTGATACAAAAAAAAACCGGACAATCACAATATTGACATTTAAACATTTAAACTTACCAATAATTGCTGCAAAATATAGAAATGCACTGGTACTTTTCTCTGAATTGTCTTTTGTATGTTTATTAGTAACTCCATTTGACACATAATCTATATCCTGGATATGCACCTGTGGTTGATCGGTTACAGAAAATGTCATCTTGGATGTTTATGGATAATATTTGTTAAAATATCACTAGTCTTTCAATTAATTTGACCACGTTTTAGATAACACAACATTGTTTAGTACACAATATGTAGTTAGGTTACTCAGTAAAATTTTTTACCAATTGTTAAAAATAATATATACATTAATACAACATTACTACTAATTTAGAAATCTACCAAAATGTTCTTATACCAGTTTAATTGGAGAAAGTCTGGTATGTCTGTGACATTCTGTTTATGTGATTATAATAACTCAACACCGCATACAAATAAACAAAGATAAACATTTATTTTATTGAAACCTTCTACTATTGTTGTCAACAATATCATTGGCGTCCAAGCTCGACCCGGCAAGAAATAAATATATTAAATTTGTATTTTTAATTTAAAAATTTTAGATGATTAACATTGAGAAAAGTTTTATTGAGAATTTTCACTTGATGTCAAGTTGTGTAAATTTATTTTTTTTTGATTCTAAAATTAAAAATGTATGAAGAGAGATACAGATACAAAAGGAGGCGTTGAAGTATTACATAACGCAATTTTTTAAATTGTTCGAATCTTCCTCCTACCCATGTAATGCACTGTTATGTTTTACTGTACCTCCTTACCCAAACGTTATGTAACAACCAAGTGAGTGTAGTTAAAAGTATTAATTATGTTGCAGAATGCATCCAAACTAGTACATAACTTTTCTTTTTGGTTTAATCTCATTTGTGGTATTCTCGTTCTCATAAATTCTTCTATTTTATCTTTTTCTAAAACAATTAGAAACGGAAACCTAATTAAAATCCAACATTTTATTCAAAATAAAAAGTTATTCTTAACTAAAATATTTTCTAATTTCACGATTGTCTTGTACAATCTTCCCATGCACGTAACTACTGTGTACCGGGTGGTCCAATAAGCCAATCTCTTGGCTATATATCAGAAACTATTCATGTTACAACTTTAGAGAAAAAAATTCTCTAGTAAAAGTGGCCAAGAGAAATCGCTGGAAATAACTTTCAAGTTTCTGGGTAACCGCTAGGGGGGCGTAACCTGTGAAAAAAAATTTGAAAACCAGTTTTTTGTGAAAATATGCCAATTATACCAATTGTTAAATAAGTAAACTAGAAAGAGGCCTAAATTCCGCACAAAGTTGTTCAAGTACTTTTTTTACATTCTCAAATAAAGGGGGGCGAGAGTGGAAAAGTATTTGTGGATAAATACGTATAATTTTGGTTTGGATCAACCGCTTTTAACGAAATTAGTATCATTAGAAAGAGTGTGGATGATTTAATTTAAATCTACATAAAACAATTGCATTTAGTTTTAATTGTCATGGGTTAGAGGGTACTTTCGAATAGAAAAAACTAATATTTGTTTTTCTTCAAAATGTTAAATGAGAAACACTATTTATTGTAAATTATACTGTAACTGGAATAAATTCGTAACAAAATGGCGCCAACCGCATGTTGATAGAAGCTCTAGATTCTAGCTTTTGTCGAACTCGAGATATGAAAAAACGCTAACATAGTAAGTATTACCACCTATTTAACTAAAATTAATTGTAAAGATATCAATCTCTTAAATTAATGTCCATAAAGTTCAATGTTTTCCATCGTTGTCCACACAAAGATGTAATCTTTCGCGCATAGATATAACAGCTGCTTCAATCTCAGCTGTAGATATACTATTTATTGCGTTTATAATGCGCCGCCGTTTCGTGTCGTCTCGCGTGGTTGTCGAGTTTGGTACACTAAGTCCTTCAATCTTCCCCATAGATAAAGTCCAGACATGTTAAGTCTGGAGATCTAGCTGACCATGAAAATATACTTCCTCTTCAATCAATTTATTTGGATAACTTGCATACAAATAATCTCAACTCGTCTGGAAAAGTGTGCAGGACACCCGTCTGCACACAATCTCATATATCTTCTTGTTTGTAAGGAAATATCTTTCAATAAAAGAGGCAACTGATTTTCCAGAAAATCCAAATATGTTTCGCCATTTAAAGTTCTATCAAGGAATATGGACCTACGATCTTTCCATCAACTATACCACACCAAACATTAAGACTCCATCTACCTTGAACCTGCACCTCATGTATCCAGTGCGGATTTTCTTCAGCCAATAATGCATATTATGCAGATTAACACCACCCGCACTATTAAACGTAACCTCGTCTGTCCACAAAATGTTTGACATGATAGTATTCAATTGCAGTAATCTAGCCTTGCATCAAAATCTCTCTCATGTAAAGATTGGTGGAGAACTACATGTAAGGATGCAGTCTAAAAAACAGATCAACAAATATTGGTGAAAAGGAAACCACTCTATTTACTAAAACTCAAAAATCTTGAAAATCCACAATTGTTTTATAAATCGTGCACTAGTATTTTAAGAAACGGATAACAGGATAAAAGCGCCGTGTTGCTGTGTTTATCGGAATATTAAAAATAACAGTTGAATCTAAAGTTTAAAGGGAATTCCAAGTTTCTGACCTAAACGTTCACTTTATAATATGAAAAACCAACCTGTGATGTTTTAAAATCCTTAAAACAGTAGTTTTGGGTATGTTTAATTCTGTAGAGATTTGCCGACTACTTATATGTGGATTCTGTTGAATTAAAGCAAGAACATTGATTGAATTATCTTCGGTCATACCTCTACTTCGTCGTTTAAAACAAGAACGATGAAAACTTACTGGTTTCTCTTAATCTTCTTGCATTTCTTTTCAAATACTTCTTTGTGATAATGTCTCCTGTCAGGATATCTTACAGAATATATACGTGAGGCAATAGCGGCATTTTGGTGATCATTCAAAACAAACTCCAATCATATCATACAATTCTGCATTTGATACACCATCACGAATTATTAGTACTGATAATTAATTGATGAATATTACCAATATTAATATTGAATGAAAAAAGTGCAATCTTCAATTCGAATTATAGCAGCACTTCTTATCAATGTCTTGACTGCTGTTAATAAATAACAATAGAACTCCCGTCAAGTTCATTGTCGTACCTACTTAGTTTCGAAAAAACTATTTTTAATCATATGAAATTACAATGGATCAATGTATCAACATTAGGTTTCTTATACTATATAAAAATTTGAAAGTACCTAGACTTATTTTTTAATTTAATTTATAATACAGGGTGAGTCCAATACTATACTTTCTTGTGTATAGGCGTTTTTATTTCATATCTCGAGTTCGACAAAAGCTATTGACATGCGGTTTGCGCCATTTTGTTACAAATTTAATCAGTTTTATTATATTTACAATAAATAGGTGTTTTATTAAACATTTCAAAGAAAAAACAAATTTTAATTTTTTCTATTCAAAACGTTACCCTCTACCTATGATAATTAAAACTAAGTGTAATTATTTGCAGTAGATGTATAATTAATTTATCACACTCTTTCTGATGGCACTAATTCGTTAAAAATCGGTAATCAAACCAAATTTATCGGTATTTATCCACAAATACTTTGCCACTCTCCCCCACCGTTATTTGAAAAAAATAAACTGTGCGGAATTTAGGCCTCTTTCTAGTTTACTTATTTAACATTCGTATAATTGGGCCATATTCCCAAAAAAACTTGTTTTCAAATTTTTCTTCACAGGTTACGCCCCCTAGCGGTTAAACCCAAAACTTGAAAGTTATTTCCAGCGATTTCTCTTGGTCACTTTTACAGGAATTTTTTCTCCTACAAGTTACTAACATGAAAGTTTCTGATATATAGCGAGAGATCGGCTTATTGGACCACCGGTACATGCAAAATGAGATGTGAATAGATCCAAAAATTGCACATATCGTGCTCTACTGTTTTGGCATATGAAATAGATCCACAAATTGCACATATCTTGCTCTTGAAGTCGCATTGTATTGATGGTACAAAGCATCAGTATGTACAGAAATCATAAGGTGTATGCTTAAACCCCTCTAGTGTATGGAACTACTGAAATGGAAAACATACAGTTACGGTTTGTAAATCATTAAGGTGATTACTTGTGTACGTACTCAGCAGTGTCGTCGGCGAAGTAGAGATTATTGGTATAGTCTTTATTAATTCGAATTTTTATCTTGAAGTTCGTGAGAGATACAGTGAAAATTGACTTAGTGATATATTGAAAACCGTCGACGGCAGCTCACAGCCTGTCTTACTTCTAACATGATCTTCATTTATTTAGTCAACTTGCTACGACTCTAATTAACCTCGCTTTCGAAACATAAGTCTAGACCATGTGATGGGAGTGGTAAAATCTTTTTTCTAACAAAACTGGATGAGTCGGTCTTCTTTCTCATTTCTCCCCCTAGGATGTGTGACTTCTCCTCCAATAAGGTCTTCTATACTAATTTTGCCAACTTTAACATAGATATCAGCCAGGATATTGGTAGCCTCGTTCTATTTGGTATATGCAAGTATACTCTACAGTAGTGTGTCGAACTTCTACTCTGCAGCTTTATCAGAATGATTTGTCTGAGAGAGAATACACTGAGTACAGCACTAGCGGCGTTTTTGTTTGGAATCGTCGGTACGCTATTATAGTGATGTGTTTTGTCGTTTCCGACATTATATCTTTTCTATGCAGCTCTGTCAGACCTGTTTTCTTATTTCACTAATTCCCCATCGCGTGTTGTGTATCTTTTCCCTTTAAAACATTTACTCCGTCATTTTAAAGCACAAATTTCTTGAAAATTACACTTACATGCTCTCTTTTCATCGACATTTAAATAATAGTAAGGATCCGATCTTGTCATTCGAATACAGCCGTTTAGCTCAAGATGCGAGCAGCGCCTGTGAGTATCTAGTATTAAGCTTGCAGAAATATTAGTTTCCTCACATCCAATGATAATAATTACTGCTGCCACGACAAATCGGGTTAGGTTTGTTTCTTTAATAACGACAATACTCGCCATGTCACGATACTTCATTGAGTTTTGTAACAATGTTAAGGTATACTTTCCTGGATATACCCGTTATAACCTCCAATCG